ACTTAATGTGGTGGAAAAAATGGCACCAAACTGAACAACTTTGTGTTTGACACAGTCCACAATGCGCTGGCACAGCACTGAGGGGTAGGCTGCCTCTTCAGCCGTAGGAAAATGCACCTTCTGCTTTGAAATTGTCACTTTCCACGATTTGTGCTCATGGGACTTGTCGCACCTGGCTTCCAATGAATCAAGCCAATCATCGTTGACCCAAACTGCAGTCAACTTGTCACGCCAACCACCGTGGCAGCAGTTGTGAAAGTTTACATACTTGCTGCCAAACTCTGCTATGATGTTTGCCATCGGTGTTGTGCCCCAATAATGGCTGTTGCCGGGATTTTCAATACCAGTGAAGATGCCCGCCCTGCATGCTGTCCTGGTGATCTGCTCGACCGCGCTATAAAGCAAGTTGGCCTTTTCGACCTTGACTTTATTTGTGCCATTCAGTCCATCAAGCTGGTCTGGTTGTGTCTCCGACCGTAATGGCACTGGCACTTCTACTCCAAGTTGTTGTAGCTGCGGAAGCCTGCGCTCTCGCGCTCTGCTGGCCGTACCACATGACGGTGCTATCCATATGGCCGCTATGTTGGCTGCTTCAGCCTCCAGGAAGTTGCAGAGCTCATCCACCTGGGATTGGTCTTCAAGTTCGAAGATGCAAATATCAACGCCACAAGACCTGCTGCTAGTATGGTCGATGGCAATCCCTGTGAATCCAGCATCGCGCGCAGTGCGCGTCAATTTTGCACTTCCAGCGCATATCTCCACAAATATGAGGTCGCTGACAAGTTTGCCACTGAATTTCTGGTGGTAGTTTGTTGCAGCGCTCCCCAATTGAGTACCCTTAGGGTGTTGAGGATCATGTGAAACTTCAGGTGCTCTGCGGCCCATGTCTTCAACAATTTTGCCTTTCGCCCCTGATGACACTGAAGGTGTGTAGCGGCCTCTGTCTTCAACAGTTTTGCCTTTTCCACCAACTTTGCAAGCTCTAGGGTCGATGTTCGACTCCTGATCCAGTGAAACTGCTTTGCGTTTCCCACCTGGCCGTTGTGCCCGACCAGTGGGGCTGCTTTGTCAACCACCTTTGTTGTCAGCCAGCCCTCTGCACACCACCACTGAGTGCCCTGGTTTGTGGCAATGGGCGCATACGTGAAATCCTTTGACACACCGTGATGGCTTCCCTGATGTCGAGTTTTTGCATCCCGTCTTCATGTTGTACGCCCAACACACGGGGCCATGCTCACACCGTAGTTGAAACTTTCTGAGCTCTTCCGGACATCCCTTCTCAGCGCGAGTCTTGCGCTTCTTGTTGGTGCTCTTTGCAGCAGCTTGTTGTGGTCCAACAGGATTTGTCCTCTTGGGTGCAATCTCCTTGTCCGTCACCTTTGTTGCCGACGTAGTGGGGAGCAGAAACATGGTGATGCGCGGGTCTTGGCACAGCCTTGGAAACATGCTGTCCAACGGGATATCTCCTGCCATGTTTGGCTTGAGTCCACCTTTGCACTCCTGCGCCAAGAGAGTCCACATCTCTCTGTCTGCTCTCACAAGCTGGTCGATCTTGACCTGTTGGAATCCCGGTGGAGGCACTTGGCTCAATGTCCTGAAGAGCTGGTGCACCCAAGCATCGTGTACTGCCCATGAAAGTAACCTGCATTGATCCATTGCTAGCCCCCGTCGTTGCCAACACCACTGGAGCTTTATCTCGCTTCCATAGTCAGCCTTGAACTCATCTGGCACTTGTGCAACCTTCAGTTGCTGGTTCTCGATCTGCACAGAGGAAGGTTTGTCTCTGATCGCCAACTGCACTTCATCTGATCTCTTGGTACAACGGCTGGGTGCTATCCAGACTATCGCCCCAGTCTCGATGATGTTGTTGGTCAAGTCAAGCAGCTGATGGCTTGGCTCTAGCTCGCCGCTGATTGCGACACCTGCCAAGCGCCTTTCTTGCTGTTCCAACCTGTGCTTCTTCTCTGCTATTGGGATCCGTTTGACGCTGTCAACCTTGTCTGCAGCTTCACTGTCCACCTTTTGCTTGACTGACGCAATCATCAACGTGGTCGCCTCAAAATGAAGGCGTCTAATCATAGATGTCTGCCCCAAGGTAGCGTTTGCTCCAAACACCGCTTGTGCAAGCGTAGTGAACTGCTGGTCCGTGGGCGGTGTCTGAGGCGTTCCCAAAGCAAACGCCATACCGCTGAAGGACACTATGTTCTGCAGTGCCAGGGCATCTACAAATGCCCCACTCGGGTCGATTTCACTGCAGCGTTGCCTGAACGCCGCATTGCTCTCAACCAGAGCCATGGCAACTGACGGTCGGTGTTCGACTAAAATCAAAAAAAAAAATGTTATATTCCATCTGATCTTTGACTGAGGTTGGCTTCGAAGTGATGTTGACATCTCCTTCATCTCGCCTCACCTAGAGTTGATTTTGCCTCGTGTTTGGTCCATGCAATAAACTATTGCTGAGCCGCTCCACGACAAACAAAAAATTGTGCACTTGCTCCCCGATCGTGGTCATGTGACACGTTCCATGTATGCCCTCTCACCAATGCCACCATCAAAATGTTGTTCAGACAACATGCCAAATCACGACAACACGCACATATGAGACCCTACTGCTGTCAGCAATCTTTTGGACTCAGTGCTGTGTCTGATCGTGCACGTGTCTCACAGCAATCGCAGTAATGGCAGAACTCTACGTGTCATCTACGCATCAGTGCTGTGTCACTGTAAACAGTTGAGTCAATGACATCCAAAAGAAAAACAAAAGTGCCGCATTGATTCAAAACTTTAAGCACTGACCTTCAAATGCGTTCTGACATCGTGAGCTCAAACATTCGATGGGGCAAGCAAAACGCTGGCAGTGACTCTCACTCTTTGTTTACATGCCAACATGTAACAAGTCTGCACCATGAACCAGGGGTTGGAAAACTTGGAGTTCGTTATGACAAAAGTTCTGCACACAGGATCATGATTTCTGTCATGTGTTCGGCATCAGAGTCTATACCTGGTGGAGTTAAGGTCACGACATTCCCAACTGCTCCCGCTGCTCGTCTCATTACGAGGTCGCTGCAGTTGCCACGGCAGACAGTTGTGTGACGTCACTGCCAACATGTGAGAACAAGATTGAAACTTCTCTACATGAGCAAATGAAGTGAACACCTCTGGGACATTCTTGCACTTTGAAATCCTGAACAACCAGAGTGCCGGACAACGCTGCTCTGTGCCAGAGGCTTCACCAATTGCCCTAGTAGCTGCCGAGAAGTTGATCAATCTGACATCTTGCAAAGAAGGAAAACAAACAAGAATTGATTGATGACTTTTGGTTTATGCATTGATACCCTTACCGCCTTTGTGATTCCTTGCACACTTCATTCTTGCATCTGCTTGATCAGAAACAAAACACAAACAGGTTGAGGTTCCGACGCATTGCAAGATTCAAGGAAGAGACACGGTTTGGTTCAAGTATCCATGCACATGCAACGCCGTCCATGTTGTGATGTTTCACATTCACAAGCATGATGAAAAATTCAATGAACTTGCTTCAAATCTTATCCAGGGGCACCGGCTGTCTCTGAGTTCACTGCCGCTACATCACTCGCCCTGGCCTTGTTGAAGCAGGCCCAACAGATCGGCGAGTCGAACCTGGGCTCCTGAGTTAAACGTTGATGAAAGGCACCCACAGACCTGCCACACACAAAAACTCTGAAGTATCCAGGCTCAGTCAAGTGGACAGTCTTTAGCTTGCTGTGTTGCCATCTGGAGAAACCCTCTGGAGGTTGCGGCGGGGCAAACACTTTGTTCAAACCGCGGTCCCTGAGCACCTCCTCTGCAGAAGAGTCGGAGCTAGACGTGCTGTCAGATGACTCTGATGCAGGTGCAACATCATTCCTTTCTTCATCAGATGACATGACTTGTTCCACTTTCACTGCATCTTTTTGAGGTCCAGGCTGTTCCATGGGAGAGTCAATAACTCTTCCGCTTCTGGTGCTGTCAGGTTTGAATTTCCCTTTGGCAATCTCTTCAATCAAACGCTCAAGAAGAATCAAACTAGCAGCAGCACCGTCACGTGAATAAACCAAGGCCATATGCATCTGTGAAGAATGGTATTCAAGCATGAGTCTATCAGGTACTGACAGTCCACGCTTTGCTGCAAATGAAAGCATGGTACACTTAAGGCTGTGACTGCTGATACGCCTTTCAGGCCCATCTGTTTTGCTCTCCTCCACGTTCAGCAAGCGGCGCAACCATTTGCCGCACTCACCTGATTCCAACGGTCTCTGCGTCGGCTCACCATTCTTGTCTGGCGCAGGCATGATGAGGCCTTCCGGCGGGAAAGCTAGGCCCATGGATGTTCTGTGATTCATCCACGGCGTTGCCCAGTCACATCCATGGACACCCTTCACTGGTGCCACCATGGGAAGGAACTGATGTCGATGCATCTGCGAACTCATGGTCTTGTGCCGCCCAGTGCGAGTCTCCAGATACGCTGGCTGTTTGTTGTCGTCGACATCCAAAAAGGCTGTCTCACTTCGCATCAGGTCACCCCAGCGTCCTCTGCAATAGCAACACAGCAAGGCTGCTCCAGCGAATATTGCGTCCCAAATGTCTGGAGCTTCATCCACCACTTGATGAAGCTTTTGGAGCTCCACAACTGTGAGTGGGCTCGCCTGCTTCCTTTCCCTTGGGCACGTCTCTCTTGCAACTCCGCTGCATCGCTTACTGTCAAGCACCGTCTGTAGCTCTTGTACATCCAGCACATGCCGGCAGAATGCTATGGCTTGTATGTAGCCCTGTAACCTGCTGGCTGGGGCTCCATGCAACTGCTCATGACATAGGAACCTGTAAAAAGTGATCTCCTTCATGGGAAAGAGTTCCAACATCTCTGATTCCAAGTAGTTGCACACTCTCAGTATGGCAGTGCCACGTTTTCTGACTGTCACCGGTGCACGTCCTGAGAAAACATGTGCAAACATGTTGAACACCTCGGCCTCATTGCGCATGTCTGCAATTTTGCCCAACAGAGAACAGCTGTCACTCCATTTGCTTGTCACACCAGTCCAAAGCATGATACCACGTTGCAAGTCTGCATCTCTCTGCTCTGGCCAGGGAACATCTGGTTTGAATGACACCACATCCATGAAGTTGCATGAGTGCATCCTACCACGCTTCAAGGAACCACCATGCTCTGTGTCCAAAACCTGTTGATCGATTCCCCATAGCAAAGGTGTAGGCCTAGACATCTGTGCGCCCCACACGCCAAATTCAATGCCTGAACTGTCACCTCCAAAAATGTATTTCCAGATTCCCGTTTCCCAAACTTGTCTTGGTCGTTCGGACTCTGTTGAATTGAAAGCAACATTCAAAGCAGCATCAAAGTTGAAAGAGTTTGTACTGTCACGGCCATGTACATCTGTAGAGCCTATTGCATGCAACAAATCACTACCTCGTCCTCCATAGACATCTTGTGTAGCAATTGTCGTAGGACTGCAAACTGAAAGTCCCTCATCACCCTGCAATGGTTCTACAGTCCCAAACAGGTTGTCAGTGTAGTCATCGTTTGTGTCAGCATTTTCAGGTTCATCTCCCTGTCTCATGATCTGTAAATCGTCAGAGAAACTGTTGAAAGGAGTCCCGTCCAAGCTAGCACTCAACCTACCATCAACTGAATGACCTCCAGGATTGTCCTCTGCTTTTTCCATGGTCCTAACAGCACCGACCTACCCCCATGAAAGACGAAAAATTATCCGTCAATAAGGGTAAAAACCCTCCCACCCAACCCTTGAGAGAAAATGTTTCAGATAAAACGGACAATTCATCACATCTTAAGAAAGGTTGAGTTTTGGAAAACAAAAACGCGCATGAGCACAAAACAGTTTTGTTGTCAAACCAAGTTTGGTCAAACAAACTTTTTGTTCTCAAAAAGTTGCGTGTGCAAATAAGAGAGAGTTTCTCAAGAGAAACTCACAACCTGTTTGCAAACTGTTTGCAGCGGAGCAGTCATGACAGTGACCTGCAGAAGTCCATGTTGAATAATGGGATCGTCCTTCCTCAAATCACTGACTGAAAAATCAATGGTCTCAAGGACCACTGCACCATTGAAGTGCTCTTTGAATGGGTACTGTTTGCCTGAAGGAACAACGTGCAGGCAGTCATCAATAAATGCATTCATTTTGAGCCATCCAAACTCTTTCAAAGCCCCAGTGTCAAAAGAATTTCTCTGTTGCTGAAACCAGTCGACAAAATCCTGACCTTTTACAGGACACCTCCGCAAATGCTTCCTGGTTTGCAGCACGTTCACTTGACTTCTTTGAATGTACGCATTGACCCATTGAGAATCGTTCAGAAACTCTTCAAGCATTTTCTGTTGGGTCAACAGAGACAGTTTCAAATCAATCACACTTTTGCTTTTGCTCAAGGATGTGAGCCATTTGTCTGAAGGCATTGGATCTGCTGGTGACAGTGACAGTGGGCTCAAATCAACCCCCTCACACAATGCCTCCCTGATCGTCGCTTCTGTCTCCAAAATTTCTGACAACATTTTTTTCAAAAATTCTACCTGGTCTTCCCTGGCATGCGGAGACGGAAAAAAAGACCAGCACTTCTTCAACATGTCTGCAGTTAACTTTGGACCCAGTCTGTCAACATACATGCTCACAATTTTTGCCATGTTTATGTTTTTGCCTGCTGTCAGTGAATCAGCAGCAGATTCGGGTTTGGCCTGTGACTGTGTGCGTTTGGACCTGGTCCCCCGCCATAATGATTGAGTCAGTTCGCCCGGTCGATCATCAGACACTGATGCTGAATCACTGACACACGGGGCAGATTGACTCAGTCCGGCCGGTCGATCATCAGACACTGATGCTGAATCACTGACACACGTGTCGGATTGAATCAGTCTGCCCGGTCGATCATCAGACACAAGTGCTGAATCACTGACACACGTGGCGGCAACCTGACGAATTGGACCCATTAGAGCCATGCCCTGAGGAAAAATGACAGTGACAGCACCTGGCCGGACAGTTGAACTACTTGAAGCTGCCTGCTGAGGCCCTGGCTGCTGCACTCCGCCCGCGAAATTCAAAACTTGAGGGTGTGTACTCCACGGAGTCACTGAAGCCATTTTGATTGTCAAAGGCCCAGGCCCAGGCTGTCTCGCAGGCATCGACTCTGGAGGCTGATTTCTCACAGCATACCTGCAGCCGCCAATGTGATTGCGATGCCACCTGAGAGTGCAGTTCCATCGCAAAGCCCATGTCGTGTTGGCAGATTCTGAATCCTTCTGCAAGTGGTCCAAGAAATTACAAAACTGCGTCCAGTGCTCGTCATCACTGTAAATCGGAACTCCCTCGTACTGCCCGCTTTCGCGGATGTCAGCTGTCAGCCCATTTATTTCTGGCAGGAACAGCATGCAGGTAGAACTGCTGGAAGTAACCAGACATGACCACACAATCGCCAGGATTATGAAACAGCAGAAGAATGGATGCTTCGTTCTTCTCGCTTTTCCCCTTGGACCCAGACTTGCGCTTGACCAGAAGAATTCCAGGACTTTTGAATGTGAATGAGCAAATGGGATCAAGAAAGCTGTAGGTCTCTCCCCCGTCATCATGAAAATCGATTGAGTTTCCCTCCAGGTGGTTGTATTCATTGAATAATACATGGAACGTACCAGATTTTAACCAATGAGGCAAAGCGGACCACTGTGGAAACAAGTCCTCATGGTTCTTCTTCATATTCTTCATCAGACAATTTTCGAAAATTTGGCCATGGAGATGAGCATTGGCTGCCCTTGGGCATGTGGCTTTTTTCCACTTGTCGTCCCCTCCAAAGCTGATCCGGCAATCGCAATTGTTGCCATTGAGGGTTGCCTGGCGATAGTAACGTGTTGCCTTCTTAGACCCTTGAACATCGTGTATGCGGTCGGCAACCTGAAACATGTGCCCATTTAATGCTTCCCACTTCTGCTGGTCATTAAAAATGTTGAATGAAACCTCGATCATTTTGAGGTCATTGACGTCATGGATTCCACGCACAAAAGTCAGGAAGCAAGATTTGAATATGCCATGATCCCAGGACCAAGTTGGCAGAGACTTCGTCAAGTCCTTCCGTGGGGCGTTTGCAAAAAGCAAATTCAGGAACTTGCAGTTGTCCGACTCTGTCGCAACACCATTGGGCCAGCTATCTGTCATTGTGGTGGCTGCTGGAGAATGATTCCACACAAATGGGAAATGATCTCACAATAGCAAGCCACGTGGCTACCTGGCTGCTGGAGAATGATTCCACACAAATGGGAAATGATCTCACAAGCAAGCCACAAGGCAAAAGAGATGAGTTGGCTGAATTCTAAATGAAATTTTCATGGTCATTAATTCATTTCACTGATATTTTGCCGAGTCATAATATTGTAATTGCATTAGCTTAGCTACATGAAATTAATATCATTATTTCTCGGATTCCAGTGAGTCATGATCCTGCAATGATTTCACGCCATGCTTGATTCATCATTCATTGATTCATTACCTGTCGAATTGAGCCACTTCCTTCGGAACAACAAACAGTCAGTTGCCATGAGAATTTGCATTATTACAGTCTGATTCTGCCTCTGCCATACAATTATATAATATACTAATTTTCAAGCAAATGAAAATAAAAATGAATGAACTGAACTGAAGATAGTCATTAGTCTTCGTTGAGCCTTAATTCTCAATCTGAGCAACTGGCAGTAGCAATCCTGCGTCAAAGAAGCACTCACAGTGCGTCACCTTGCAGTTTCAATGCAAGATTCGAACTGGTTTGAGTTTTGATTTGTGTGCTGACTATTCTAAATCAATAATAAATAAATATCGACCTAATGATTTCAATGATGACTTGGTTTGAACTTGACATGGAGTTGCCAATTGAATCATTGCAACAATTTACAATGTAACTGTACTCAGCTGAGTCCCGGACAATGATAAACTGGCTGCAATGATGCTCAAAATGACTAGTCAACCAAAGGCGCAACGCATCATCAATTTGCTGTTCATTCATTGGCATTGAAATTGGCAGGTGAATCATGTCACACAATCGGACAATCATCACACACAATGCATTGCTGTGTCAATGAGTCAAAAATAGTCAATTCATTCCAGTAGTCATTCAGCCTTAAAACTAATAAGAATGATAAGTACTGGAAAATTAAAATCATTTGTCATCGAATCATGCAATGTTCGATTTTCAAATGTTTGCCTCATTGACTATTTCAAGAGACTGAAGTTGAAGGTCTCTTCTTATTATTAGTCACCACCCGTCTGATGCGTTGTTCCGGCTCACGCTTGACAAGTGATTTTCCATCACGTTGTTTGGTCAAATCAATCCAAACAATTGCACCCCTAGGATGGAAATATGGTTTTGGAGTGCTATAGACAATTGGATTTTTCAGTTCCCAAGCCCAAATGTCTTTGTACTCAATAACAGTCCAATCATAGACGTGATGGCGGTCGGCGCACGCTCTGAACGAATAAGGTTTGTGATCCTTCAACTGTCCATCTCGAACATGAGCCAGCAAAAAACAACCAACGATTGTCACCTCTCCCAGGAGCATTCCACCAGTGCCAAGGGCAACAGTCTTGCCCACCTTTGAATGACAAGGCTTTGATCTGAGTTCCAGGTCTTTTCCATTGTGCAAGATCTCGTGGGCCCACCCAGGTTTCATCAGCAATGCAGAGGTTGGCTCTGCAGTCGTCATAATTGAGAAATCACTGTGTAAATGTAGTCAAATCAAATGACTTGATTGAGCCAATGCATACGGTGTCTCAAATAAATGTCTTAAAAACCTGAAGCTTAAAAATGAAAAAGTGCACCTGACTCCCTGACCAAAAAAGAAATAAAATGATTTAATGCACAAGTTAATTCATTTTTTTAAAAAATATATATATTTAAAAAAAACTATCAAAAACTTATTATTTCTTATTTTTTCTTATTTTTTCTTTTTTTTTCTCTTTTTTCCTCTGTTTGAACAGTATTCAAAACCTTTCCTGGCTAAACCCCCCCTGGCTTGACCCCTTATTAAGGTTAGGGATAAAACCGCAGGTATGGCAATTTGCCCCTGTCCTTGTCAAAGCCGGCAGTAAGCCTTATATACTTGAACCACATGCTGCATTGAAGGCAGGGGGCCGCA